GGTTCCCCTGATCCCGAGCCCCGCCCCCGCCCCGCCCGGCCCCGCCCCCTGGGGGCTTTCTAGACGTTCGCAAAACCTTTGGCGGGCATTCTACTTGCAGGCGCAAACTTGGAGGCATGGGGTTCAGATGCCCCCAAGTTTTGCTTGCCCTCAGCCATGAGGCCCCAGGAGCAAGCTAGGGAAAAATCTCCCATTTCCGGAGAGTGAGCGTAAAGCCAAGGCTAACTGTGCATCACCTCTGTGGGTACTATCCAGTTCCAGCAGAGTGGTCTTCCCTGGGTGCGACTAGGAAGCCATCGTGGTGATCACGGTATTTCCCCTCGGCAAGCATAGGCTACGCTTGATCTGAGCCTTCAAGAGGCCAGGAAATTAATGAATAATTACTCTCCCACTTCCACTTCTAGTGGGAAGATCTTGGCTATAGGCCGACTTTATGGCAATGGGAGACTCCTTCCTAGCTTGCTCCTGTGGCCATACGGCTGAGGGCAAGTGAAACTCAGGGGCATCCGAGCCCCAAGTCTCTGGGCTTGGGCCTGCACGTAGGATGCTCACCAAAGGATTTGGAAGCATCCGAAGCCCGAGGCCAGGGTGGAGGATGCTTGTGGCTAGTAGGGCCACATACGGTTCTTGAGTGACTCACAGATTTGGAATTGATTTGGCTGATTTGACCTGGGATACAAAAATTTTTCCTTAAAAAAGAAAAGAAAAGGTAGAAGGTACCTCCCTGTCACCACAGGGGAGGTGTGAGCTGTGAAAGGCAGCCTGGCTGGTAACAGGGAAGAGACGTGAGGCTTACAGATCAGGAATGGACAGGAAGTTGTTAAGAGTGTTTTTATCTAGATGCTAAAATCTGTTTCTTCCATTACCTTATGAACATATTCATTGCAGGGTTGTGCAGTCCTCGCCACTTGCTCTGGTTACTGTGTGGATCCTCTGTCCTGTACCGTACATCTAGGAAGGCACAAAGATGCCCGTATACATCCGGAAGCATCCTCTTGAGATCCCTCTGCCTTCTGAAAAGGACTGGATTAAAGAAGATGAGGAGGAAAATTTCTTCCTGCAAGATCCTGATCAAACCCTTGATCAGTTGCCTCAGCCCTTCCGGATGATCAATAAAATGGTGAATCTGGTGTTTGACGAGGCCTTGGAAATCATCGAGCAAAGAGAGGCACTCCGAGAAGCACAGAAACTGAAGGTCCGACCCATGCAGTACATGCCCACAGGTGACTTCAAGGTACAGAAACTCCTCACAGCGCAGGGAGCTTTTGGCTCTGCAGTGGTATTGTCAAGCAGCGTGGTGATTTTCTGCGTCCTTCCCTGTCTGGTGCAAATTCCTGGGAGCCCACCAGCATTTCCCTCTCTCTCAAGTCTTGTTCTGTAAAGCTATAGATCCTAAGATCTTTTGACAGGTTGTTCTTCGGAGTCTGTCACGACACTGCCCTGAAACAGGGCAGGCAGCTATTAAACTATATCAAGCTCACTCACAACTTCTCTGCCTTAGGGTCGCCCCACCCTCGCTTACCATGGAGAGGTTGATGAGTCAGCTGGAATAATACAGACAAACTCAACTGTGATTTAAAATTATACCTTAGAAATGGTTCAGAATGGAATAGCTGCGTGGTGTGTGGGGACTTTGTGTGCTTGCTGACCAGACTGCCAAGTCTGCAGTGCTTACGTTCTTGCTGTAGGCTGAAGTGGGTAGGCAAATGTGGGAAGCTCTAGAGGAGAGGGAGGAGGTGTGTACCAATATCCTGTAATCCCACATTTTTCAGCAGACTCGCTGAACATTCAGGGCTGACTCTGAGTTTCTCTTGCTTGGGGCAGACTCTTGCCAGAGCTTCACATGACTCCAGTCATCTCAAGAGCATAGAGATGCTAAGCACCCCCCACACAGCTGTGTTAGGGAAGGACTGAGTGCTGTTTAAAGGTGCCTCCAGATTGAAGGTTTCTGTTCATTTCCAACCCCCTCGGACAGGGAGGCTTCATGTGTTGTCCTTCACCTTTGACATGGGGGGGATCTCTAGTGAGAAGGGTATGTGCAGGCTCACATGGGATTTTTTTTCTCCATGTACTGCAAATCATTCTGACTTGATCTGGGATCTGGAGCCTTCACTGGAGACTGCCACATGTTGCTGATGAGTCCCTCTGTCAGGATAGTGTCTGGGTATGTCTATAATGGTTCCTTCTCTTTGTTTTTCCTCTCCACAGGTGGCAGGAAGAGCCAACTGCCTGGCAGCATCTGGAAAAAACATCTTTGTTGGGCTTTCCACAGGCCTCGCAGCCTTCAGCGCAGCTGACTGTAGGCGGGTCTGTGCCTGGGAGGCAGCAAAGTTCGAGATTTGTGCCATCCATGCCTCAGACCTCGGGAATGAGAACCACGTCCTCATTGCTTTGGATGAGATGGGTCCGTGCCACACAGGCTTCTCAGAGTCCTTTCCAGAGGGAGGGATTAGGTACCATAAAGGGATGGGGGTCACAGGGTGGGGAACAAGCATCTATTACATAAAAAGGGCTAAAATAGGAAGGAAATACGTGTGACCAATAAATATAATAGAGAGTCCAGCTGCCAGGGAGATCAGATGGTTAGAGTGAGGATGGCCTCATAACTCTGTGGCAGAGGCTGGGCGCACAGGGCAGCAGAGCTCTCAGTGCCTCTCGTTATTCTCTAGTAGGATCCTGGGCTGTTCAAGGAGCAGCATTGCTGAGCCTCAAAGGAGACCCTTTTCCATGGAGGTCAACATGAGGCACTATGGGGGTCAAGAAAGATCTGTCCACTTCCAGTGGAATCTGCTGGCCTCACTGTGTAGTGACCAGGTGTCCTGTTTTACCCTGGATGGTTCCAGATCTCAGGGCTGTGTCCCAGGGTCTATGCATAGTGTTTGAAGCGGGATTTTTGTTCCATATTTGAAAGAAATATCCTTGGGCCAGTCAGTTCCTCACCACTACTTCCTCAGAATGTCTCCTCAGTACCAGGCAGCATCTCCCTCCACAGAGGGAGTAGTGTGGTGTTGCCTGGTATTGTGTCAACCTGGTTATGCTGGTTCCAGTTCTTGAGGTAGCTGTAAAATTCCTCCAGAGTGGCAAGCTATCATCATGCGATACTGTGTCAGGGCTGATTAGCTCTACCTCTCAGAAGGACCAGTTAGCTTGCCTGTGGCACTGCACTGAGGTGAGTACACTAACCAGCAGTACAGTGAGGTCTGTGGAGCATTGTCAGCATAGCCTGGGTTTTCTTCCCCCTATTTGGCCACTGTACTTCACTGAGCCATCCAGGAATGCAACAGCCCTAGGAAGGCTTTTTAGCCTCTGATGATTGAATCCAGTCTAAAAGCAATGTCCTTCAATTTCCTTTCTGTTAGAAGGGAGCTGGATCTGAGTGGATCCCTTTGGTGCATGCTGTATCCCTTCAGGGCTCTCCAAACTAAATGTGACCATTCCCAACCAGAGCATGGGAGTGGTGTGAAATGCCATCTGCTAGGAGTTACTAGCAAAGCTGCTGAGTCCCTGAATTCCCTGGTATTTCAGTCTCTTGTGATTATCTGCTTTCAACCCAGTTGAGGAAAAGTGTATCATAATGATTGGAGCTCCTCCTGTTTCCCCTCTTCCACTTGAAGACCCTTCCTCCTGGGAGGAGGGCTGGATACAGGTCTCTTTGAGGGGAATAAGGTGCAGATGAGTATCCTGAGAACCACAGATGATACCTAAGGCTACCAACTCCCTCTTGAATAAGCTGTCACTGCAGTTTTACCAAGACCTGAACTTACCCCTCACCCCTTTCCCTCTCCTTCCATCCCCTTCTTACCTCTGTTTATCTTTTCCAGGATTTGCCCATCTCTTTTATTTTTGCAAGGACAGCCTCTTTCTCGTTAAAGTCCTAAATGAAGTGGTAAGTTCTTGGTTTTGGCTATGACACTTGAGGAAATGCTACTGTGGAATAAATGATTATCCCTCAGGAAATACTGACCATACTTCAGCAGCCAAACCTGCCCTGATGTCTGTGGTCCTTTGTTTGGCAGGAAGATATCAGCAAGCGAAGCACTTGTGAGGAGGTGGAGCTCTCCCATGGGGGCAGTTATGCAGGTGTCCTGCTGCAAGGCAAGTCCCAGAGATTGCAGTTTGTCAGACACTGGGTGCTAGGCTCCCTCTCCCCTGATTCAGATGGGAGAACAGCTCAGAGATGCTCTCCCCAAACTTGCTACAGCAAGCAGCTCTCGCCAGAGTGCAGGGATTTCCTAATTGTAGTGTTCTCTTCAGCGCACCAAAGCCTGAGAGAGCTCATGTGAGTAGGTTCCCCCTCCTCAACAGGCTCTCCACACCCTACCACAGGGCTCTGCCAGAACCTGGAGGGCCACAGCTTAGAGAAACAAAGCATGCAACATCCTATGGCAGGGGTGTCAAAGATACAGCATGGGGCTGAATCTGGCCTGTGGTACTGCCTGTGGGTCTTGCCTGTGGGCCACAGAGTGACCTACAGACATCATGCAGGGTGTGCCAGATGGCTCCACACTGCAGTATACTGGAGCAGCAGAGCTCTGTGGCAGCAGCTCTGGGGGCTGTGCAGCACAGCCCTGGAGTGGCCAAAGCATAACTGGGCCACATGTGACACCCACTCCAACCACTCCAGGAAATGTGCAGGATCCAGAATATAAGGCCAGTCTGTGGCTCTGGCCTGGCCCGTGGACTGACCCCACACCACTCATTTGGCCTGTGGGGCTGGATGAGTTTGACACCCCTGCCCTGCAGGGAAACAGCAGGAGCCATGTAACAGTTTTCCCCAGGGATCTCAGTTTTTTTACATTACTTATTCGCTATATTTTGGGGCTGTGCAGAGATACAAGCCAGACATGGATGCAGGGCATGTGGGGATGGGCTGGTGTTTCTGATACCAATGATGACAACACAGGACCTTGGTGGAAGGTCTAAGGCCATGAGGAGGATGAGTGGGTCATTGAGATATGGAGGCCTCAGGGAAGAAAGAATTTTTTTTTTAATGTAAAAAGAAACCCTGCTCTCAAGTGTGTATGACCGCAGAGGCCTCTTGCCTAAGAGACCTTTCCTCCTCCTTTCCAGTTGCTCAATGCAGTTTCCCAATGCAGGCAGCACAGAAGCTTGGCTGGAGATCTACCGATTGCCTAAGGATTCCTGGGAGAGAGAGACAGAAAATGCCTCAGGGGCTGCAGCTGCAGCAGCTCCAGCTGTCCAGGAAAGGATGTTCAGCCAGGCTTCAGAAATGGTACAGAATACTTTTTGTCTCAATAAAATACCTTTTCCTTTGCCTTTTTGCATCCATCACTCTCCTCAGCCTTCATCTCCGCAGACACAATGACGGCATGTTTCAGGCTGAACGGGTTTGTCAGCAGCAGGAAAGAACATGTGCTTGAGGGTTGCCAGTGCTTCCCATCCCATGTTTCACAATCCTGTTTTGATACTGAGATGCTCCTATTGCCCATTAGACAAGTTTTCCAGGGGAGTTCCTCAGCATTCCATGCCCTCCCCACCCTGGAATTGCTACCTCCTTTTCTCATGAGAGTGGTGCTAGCTGGGGAGCACCCAACCCCTCCCCCCCAGTGCAGGAGGTATTCACAAAGGCCTCTTTCTTCTTTAAGGCCCCTTTGAACTACAAGAGCAGCCTAGAAAAGCATTAGCATAGGCCTGATATCTCCAAAGTGTGAGACAGTAACATTGATTGTCCAGTCTGAGGCACTGTCATTCAGGTTTATTTTTCTGTCCCTTGCCAAAGAAAAGGCCAGCAGGTGTTAGCCTCTCAGGCTCAGGTAGCTGTTCAGGATCACCTTGGCCAGTCCATGTGGAGTAACCACAGTCTCCTTCTGTTTCCTTGGCAGAAAAGTCTGGAGTTGCAGAGAGAAGGTTCCGCAGAGATGGTAATAATAATGAGTGAGACTGTCTTATCTACAAGCCCTCTGGGCAGCATAAGGAGTTGGAAGTTGAAACCCTGAACCTCTCTGTCAGGGAAGAGCACTGGGAATCTGGCCCACCCTTTTTGTCCTGAGTCTCTGGTTGATCCATTCCAGTGTTTGACTGGGTTAATTCAGATTAGTGCCGGGAGTTTAATGGGAGCTGCCCTTCAGCACTATCCCCCTGGCCAGCTCCTTTCTCCTCAACCTAGAGATGGCTCAATCCTAAAGTCAATGAATGCCCAAGAGTTCCCCCCTGTGCTGCCCCCTGTTCCTATGCTGAGAACCCAGGCTCCCTCCCCTTTTCTCTTGCATGCAACTTGCTGCTCAGTCTGACCACTTCCTACAGAGCCAAGTCTATGAACAATGCCAGGGCAGAGGGTAGGAAGAGGATGCTGGTCCCCAGTTCAGGGTAAATGTCTGACTCCCCATTCCTCCCAGCCAAGTACAGAGGGGATCTCCCGCTATTACAGGTCCTTTAGAGCCCAACCTAGTTCTTGTACTCAGCAGCAGCCTCTACTATTCTCATCCTGCCCCTCCATCTCTGGAGCCTTCATCCTTTATGTGGTGCTCCCAGGGATGTGCTGTACCCAGGGGCATTTGGGGACAGACACCTAGTGGTAGTGACTTCTTTAAAAGGTGAAGCATGGAGAAGAGGGGGTGCTGAGGGAGGAGCTGAGGGCTGAGAGCCAGGGCAAGCAGGTTGCCATGCAGCTATGCATATTTTCCTCCTAGTGTTTCTGTTCAAAGCCATGGCCTCTGCCTCCCCCAGGCTGCAGGGGCATGGCCCTTGTAATATCACTATGACACTAGTTGGCTGGATAAAGGCTCTCCATGAGCAGTGTACTGGGTGCTAAGCCCTGCAAACCCTTCCTGCAGGGAAGCATTTGGTTCCCAGGAGAACAGTAGGGCAGGGGGTCAGCTGTGACAGTTTGCGTAGTGTTAGTCTGAGGCAGCACAGGCTGCAGACAGGCCCCTGGAAGTGCCCATGCTGAGGGGAGTCTTCTTCTCCCATTGCAGGAGACACGCATGTCTACAAGCAAGTTAGGTGCCAGACTGAGTCTCCCCATGCTGCTGCTGAAGGTCAGGCCACCCAAACCCCTCTCAGGTCAGCATTGTTCTCTGTGCTCTGTCTTGGGCCACTCCCTTTTGGTGGGGAAGTGGGGATTTCCTTGAGTCGGATGAAGTAACAATGCCTCTGTGTCTGTGTGGCTGTATAACAGTGAGGGAGAGTTACAGTAAAGTCCTTACTGCCTCCTCCCTTGCCCTGGTCTGGGGATCATTACAGACCCTGGAGTGGGAATAGCTGCTTAGTTAGGCACAGTAATGATGCATCACCTCTGTGATTAACAGTGATTATTTATATAACATTGCTGTCTGAAGGCCCCATCCCTGACCCAGCACTATGGCAATGGGTTCCGCACATAGATACATGTTGGGCTGTGCATCTCTTCTCATTGCTCACTCACTGACCTCTGTGGCCTTTCTTCCCCTCTGCTTTGTTACTGAGTCAGCTTGGCTGTCCATGAGCCTGCCCAATCTCAGCTGCACGGGAGCAGAGAGAGGGGTATGATAGAAGAGACCAGAGGGAGGCAGACCAAAGCGAGTGTGATAGCAGGTAGCCACCTTTGAATTGGGAAAGGAGCTGGCTCCTGGCAGTGAATGTAGAACTTATGGTGGTTACCGGCTTTTACCTGGCTCTCAAATAATTGAGAACAGCCCTAGCCCTCCTCTGAGCTTTGGCGTGCTCCTCTCCCTTGCCCCAGTAAGAACATGCAGTGATCCAAAGCTGAGTCTTTTGAGGGGAGAAGGTCTAAGGAGGACCTGAAGGGAGTAGTCCCTGTGCCAAGACACTGGTAGGGAAATGCAAGGGGCTAGCAGTGTAGTGCTGCTGTGCTCTGGATGTTTTCAGGTGAGCCCTTACCTTCAGCTAATCAGAAAAAGGAATGAGAACATGGAAAATAGCATAAAAACATGAAATCTATATCGAAACATCTAGGTGACAGGAGATATGTCCATCCATAGGTAGAAGAATAGGGTCTAGCCTCCTACATCTATGATAAAGCAATCACACTTATAAGGGGTGATGATTAGACATGCCCCAGAGCTTCCCAGGTCCCCGTGGATTCTGCTCCTCCTAGGCCTGTCACTTTGCTTTATGACCTCAATCCAGGAAGCATATTTAAAAGTCCACTGGATGCCTTAATGAAAATTGATGATGGCAGCGTTCTTGGTTTGGGACACAATCACATGATCAAGGACTGCCAATTGGAGCAGCAGGATGCAATCTTTCACAGCACCTTCAAAACATACCTGGAGAGAGGCAGTGAATCTGACAGCAAGGAGGTGACTCCCAGGTGAGGAGAGGGGAAGACCCATGAAGGCCCCTGCACCCATTCTTGGCACAACTAACATTTCAGCCATAAGTAATCCTAGGAGTTTCCATTCTATATCGCCACCTCTGGGGCACTTCTTCACTCGAGCTTTTAACTAGGGGTCTGTAGCTGCTTCTCAGATCACATCAGGCTCCTTATGCCTCTTATAGCATCTTCGCTGACCAGAGATCTGTGAGACTTTTTGAAGGTTGAGAGTGAGAATCCAAAATATTTGGGCACCACTGCTTTAAATCATGGCCTGCAAATTTAGCTCCCTAGTCCCCAGGCATGAGGGCCCAGCCACCACCACTCCTGGTCACAGTGGGTTGCTGCCTGTTTATCAGCATAATTCCATTGCTTACACTGATGATCTCTTTCTTTTCCAGACACACTATGTTTCATTTTATCTTTCCTGGTCGGATATTGCGGATGGGACCTGAAATCAAATCACAGCCAGGTAACCTGAAATGGGTGGAACATATTGGTAACCCATGGAGCTTCAAACTGATTCAGGAATTGCTAGGACTAAGAATATCATCTGCAAGGACCAGAGCTAGGGTGAAAATGCAAGGGCCTATTATTCCTTTTGTCTCAGGCCTTGGCAGATGACCAGCTGGGGTTCATAAGAATTCCCTCCTTCCTCTGTGTTATAGTATTACAAAAGGAAGGATTCCTCTTCTCTGAAGTATCTGACATAGACCGCCACTGGAGACACAATGCTGAACTAATTGGATACTTGGCTGCTGTTGATATGGCAGCTCCTGTGAGTCTCAGCATAAGTGGCATAAAGTATGTTTCTGATCCAGCCACTGACAGGATGTGCCAGGGGGGAGATATTAGCACTTACTCCCATGGGGCTTTTTCTTTGGATTCAGCAGTGAACCTCTCTGTCCATCCATCAGTCTGGTGTTCATGGGATTTGCTACATCAGCAGTCTGTATTACTTGGAGAGCTGCATCTTCCCACTGTCCTGGTTCTTGGTGATGGGGATGAAAAGTGCAGCAGGTGCCAGCAAAGCTATCTTTTCCTCAGAACAGGCACAATCCTCAGTGTTTCTAGAGTACTCAGATGTTTCCCAGGGCACTTTGTCAGGGAAGCATCTGTGGACATCAAGGAATACTCTGAGTGTGGGGATGGAAGGGAGACAAGCATGAGGAGAGATGAGAGATAGGATGGAGTGGGGCAGTGGTGAATGGGAGAAGAGGTCCCACGATCCAGTGTCTCTGCTGCTATGTGATTCTGACTTTGAACTCCTTGGTTCTGATGGTTTGTTCACTGTGGTATCTTGTCTGCTGTGGAATTCTGGAATATAGCAAAGCAAATATCCTCCCTCATACTTAACTGCTTGCTGCTGGTCAAGCAAGTCAGCATGTGGCATCAGCATTGTTTCACACTGCATGGCCCAGACTGCCAGGAAGCTTGGCTCAGACTAGGAATCAGCTGCTCTGAACCAGCTGGCACTGGGGTTATAGCTGTAGGAGGTGGGTCAAGGGACAGTATTTTTACACCACTCCACTGCAAAGCCTTTTCCATTCTCAATGGCTGTGGTCCAGCAGGGCTGCCTGCTGCCTGGGTCATTTCTTATACTCAGAGCTGCTGTGTGTTTGGGAGCAGGGGGATATAACCTGTCATAACAGGCAGGGCAAGGAAAAAAATCATGGGAAGAAGAAATTTTACTTTAGTTCTGGGCTCGCCTGAACAGACTTCATGAAACATGGAATCCAGACAAGCCTTCTTCAGTGAAAAGCCCTGTACCAGCTGCTGCTCAGGGCTGGGGCTGATTACACAGATGGCTGCAATGTAGCTTAAATCCCTTCTGCTGCTCCCTTCAGTTTTAAGGAAGACTGACTTTGACTTTCTTTTCTTCCCCTTTTCCAGAGGTCCCAGCTGGTATCAGTGTGCACTGGAGTGGAAGCCACAATCTCTGTCTGTATTTACTGACCCGGCCCCTAAAGGAGAAAGGAGGTAAGAAGAGAAAACCCCACTCCAGCTCTGTTTGCCAAACTGCTGCTGTAGATTTCAAAGAATGACCTCTTGTAAAACCCCTCACCAGCCAGTCTTTCCCTGGCAGGGAATCTCCCAACCTGTCTCAGTATGGGTATTCCTAGCATCCCCCTGTGCTTTCACAGAAGATCCCCGCCTGTAATCTGACCTTTCCCAGTGTTGGTTCTGGGCCTTTCCCTATAAGTGATTGTCTTCATGGTGGTTTGCCCCCTGGCACCTCAGGTTCTGAGTCATTCATTCTCATAGAGAGCTATAAGCAGCAGCCATTGGTGGACAGAATCAAGCTAGGTCAGATTTAGATGAGGGGGTTTCCACCACACTGAGGTACTGCAGGGAGGCTCAAGAGCCATTTTAAGTGTCCTGATGCAGGAGGAGTCTCATTCTCCATGACCAGCAGGGAAATGGGGAGGAGAGGAGCAGGCCCTTTGTCTGATGTGTGCCCTCCTGGTCCAGGGGGGCAGCTGGATGGTGAGAGCTCCAGGCTGCTCAAGGGACTCCCAGAGAGGCAGTGTTGCAGTGTGACTTCCTGAATGGCACCCACTGTGCTCAGGGGCTCATGGAGTGGGGGTTCTGTGTCTTCCTGGAAATAAGGCTTTTTGCAGTCACCACCTTCCCTCTAGATACTGAACTGAAACCTGATGCTGTCTGGCCATGTGCAGCTCTGATCACATGCTCAGCTGTCAGCTCCTGCTCTTCTTACTTGGCTTTGGCATGTGAAGATTCAACAATAACTGTTTGGAACAACTGTCTAGGTGAGCTGTCTTGTGGATGGGGGCCAGTGGGATGCTGGCAGGGGCAGGGGCTCTCTCCCCAAAGGCTTGGGGACCTTGGTGTGTGAGTGGAAGGTCATGGATATGGCTCCAACAACACCTTCTGAAGGACTTCCAGGTTC